CTCTTGCTTGGTGATCTGTTATTATGTATTTCACTACACAATAAGTTTTTAAAGCCATAACTAATTCTTCAACTATAGATCTAAACACAGGTGTAGACACTGAAGAATTGCACAATCAATGTGAATCTGTCCTTTTAAAAAATAGCCTGTCCAATTTTCTGCCATTAAGAATCCTTTCTATAATCTAATACCATATTTATTGCAATTGCAGTTATTTAATGAGTTTTTGTCTTGACTGCCTACATTCTCTGCTGAACTGTAAGCCTTACCAGGACAGGAACCGATTGGTCTTATTAAGCATCTTAAACCTTATGCGTAGCTGTAGTTCCTTACACTTACTGGACACTCACTCAGTGACTAATTTTGATTTCTCTCTTTGCTTTACATTCAGTTCTCACCTGAGATTCCTATTTATGGAACATTCATTTTAAGATGTAATGGCTTTTGTTTATTTTGCTCACCCTTTACTATTAGCTATCATTTCACCATACAGCCCCTTTCATATGTAGGTGATCGTACAATAAGCCACATCGACATAGTAACTGCTTTACCTCTTCAAGTTTCTTTCAATCCTAGATTTTTAAAAATTCTACCAAATAGCATAATCTCCCAGACTCCACATTTTTTGAAGTATTTGATAAAACTGCCTTCTGTAGGAGGCAAGCTATGAGTCAGCTTTTTGAAAAAGTATACACGATGGAACAAATGAAAAGTGATCGTAATGAAAAAGCCACCAAATGATATGAGATACAAACACCAGATCATGAACGAGGTTCAAAATTTCCCAGATTACCTAAGGAAAATAAGTTTGTTCAGTGGATAAAATATTGTTCTGTTCCTAGAAAAGAAGTAAAAAGACATGATTTTCTAAGCTAAAGGAATGACGGAAAGTTAGAAGCACATTCCTTCTGCCCCTCAGGGAGACCATAAGCAAACTAGGTTAGCTAAAATTAAAATAAAATGGATTGACAAGGAAGATATATAAAAGCTTAGTATGAGAAAGAGACTGAAGCATGTGATTCCAACTACCATTTTTATCACTGGCAATCATGCAGAAGGCCTGGAGAAGGAGACTAGGAAGGAAATTATTCAACCAGGTACAAGTAAAAAGTCTGGGTGAAAGATACGAGAAAAGAAAAAAATCAAAGTTTTGGAAAGTTTTTTTATTTTGAAGTCACTTCATTTATAAATTGTTCCTTTCTAAATGAAATTTAACTTTCTTTGCTAATTTCCAGCTTTCATTGGCCTTTAATTTTTTTCAGCCACTAGCAATTCCTGCCTTATTTCTACCAACAGAGATTTCAGCTAATTCTTTTGCCATCTTATTTCTCTCCACTTCCTTATCTTATGTATTATTCAAGTTATGCATTATAATGCATGCATTATTATTCAACTTACTGTATATTTATGTTATTCAGCTCTGTTATGATTCAGCTTCTTTTCAATTTAATCTTTTTATGTATTATTCTTCCTGCTTGAGAGACAGTAGATTTGAAAAACATGACATTTGTTTTTCTTTGCAGAAAGGTCATTTAAAACTATCTCTCCTATATATTCATTTCTCAGCCTTTTTCTCTGTAGCATATGAGTGCATCAAAAATAGAAATGAAATAATTTTTAGGTTGATAGTCTATTAGGCTGCAGACCTTCAAAGTAAAATTAAAATCAAAACAATACTAGTTTGGTTCTTGGTTAAAATAGAATGGCTAGAAACTTTACTCTTACTTCCCCCATAGACTTGACCTTTTATTCCCCCCTTCAGTGGAGAGACTTTTTTTTCTTGAGAAGAGATTCACTTTGTGTCTCCCTAAGTACTTAGCATAGTGCTGTTTATATGCTGTGTAGTAGTTATTTCTTTACTGACTAATGGTTCTAGAATTCACTTAATGGGAAAACAAAGTCAAGTCAGTGCAGCTTACATTCTAAGGCTACCATTGTTTACCTGTTTCTAAAGCAGATCCTTTTAGTGGACCTTCCTATCTTATTTTTACTGTTCTAAATTACTTTTGTTGCTTAAGAAGAGATGGTTTGAGGTCCCTTTTTCTTCTTGAACAGTGAATAAAAGTTACTGTGTTTCTGCTTGTTGGCCTCTATACTACTGAGTTCTGGACATGAACATACCATATTAGGCACATGCCTAAAAGAGGACCAAACAAAAAATAAGTGTACCTATAATAATTAATTATTCAAGGAAGGCAAAGACTGTATATCATTTTGGCTAAGGAAATTTAAAAATTATATAACTATATACTTTTGAACATCTGTATAACATCTTTGATTTATGCATCCTTTACAAAAAGTGTTTCATGTGAATTTTGCTGGGTTTAATCAACATTCTGATCCAGTTACAGTAATTGCAATTGCCTTGATTTTCTTTAGAAATGACATAACTAGAATGACACTATTCTGCTTTTCAACGTGCATTTGTTTTAAAATTACATACATTATGCTTTATTATTTATACTAAAGAGTTGTTTAGAAACTGATTTATGCAGATTCATTTTATTTGAAATTTGTATTTAAGCACAGGTAAACCTAAGAGTCTCAAGAGAAAGTTGCTCTTTCCAAGCACAACTTAATTTTAAGGCAAAAATTGGAATGGAGGATTGCATTTATCTATTCTATGAGGATGGAACTGAAGGTCCCTTCCACCTATAACAACCTATATATGTGTGGTTTAACTTCCAGTTGGCAAAAACACCCTATATTTGTATGTAACTTAGCTGAAATAAGCTTCTTTCATTTATTTTTAAACCTTGGTTTTAAGGGTTTTTTCTCAGCCGTAGCTGCATTGTAGTTTCATGAGCAACTTCTTCATACTATTTTTTTATTTTGAAAGAGGTGGAAGAAAAGGGATATCTGACTCATGAAAGTCCCAGGATGTTAGTGACAGCCAGTTAGTCACAAATTGTAGCTTACGGCTACAAGTACACCTGTCATTTCTTATTGACTGTGATACCTGCTGTCTTCAGTAGCATATGCATTCTGCAAATGCCAGAATGATGAGTACACTTTTAATTTTATTGCATAACTTTAGCAGAACTTAGGAAATTTTCAGCTGGTAAAAACATAATAACTAATTTCTCACATTAATAGCACTATGAGATATTTTTCTCACTTTAAATAACATTTCTAATTAAAATGAAAATTATATATATTTAAATACACAATAAAGACTTGGTGTTTCATGTATTTTAATATAATAAAGATGTTTTAAAGTTGCACAATGAAATACTTAGAGGTAGAGTGACATGATATCTGGGATTTTCTTCAAAGTAATCCATGGGGTGAGAATGTAAAACAAATAAGATTGGCTCTGAACTGATAATTGCTGAAGTTAGATAATGGCTACACAAGAATCCACTATTACTCTGTCCATTTGCATAAATATTTAAATTTTTGATAATAAAATGCAAGTTTTATAGTTCTTATCATTGCTAGAACATTTTACTATAAGTTTATAAACTTCCATAAAAATCAGCATTACTCACAATGCTAAATCCAAGGTCATCGCTCTTACTGACCAGAATCTCTTGCTGGATTCTCTGTTCCAAGTCACTGTGTGGTACAATTTCTTAGTAATCCAACGTGATGACTTTCCACATCAATTATTTATTTAATTTATTTTATTTTGTTTAATTGTCCAGTGCATTTGCTCTATCTTCACTCTTATTTAATCTGTTATAATCTATTTTTTGAGAGTATTAAATATTTAGAGAATGAATGAAATCCCAAATACTGTTCCTTTCATGGCATATTTTGCACTCTTCTGTAAGTACTTTTTACTTCTCACTGCCTCCGTAGCTTCTAAGGTTTATAGAAGGAGAAAGTGAATTCATTTCATGATTTTCTCCCCAGAAGCTACTGCAGTATCTGGTACAAGGTAGACCTTCAATAAATATTTATGGAATGAGTATATTAATAATATATCTTCTTGAGTGGGTCTCATGCTTTCTAGATCCACTGTGGCTAATCCCTCCTCAATGTAGTTTCCAGACAGATGCTCTAACCTGTAATTGTTATCACATTTCACCCATCTGTTATGCTTCCCCCTCAGGGTAGGCATTCGGGCATTCAGACAGAAAGTCCCTGGTCCTGTAGTGTGTGGGTCTTGCCAGGTGCTTGCTCCCTTTCTTTATCTCTAGACCTCGCCACTCCACAAACTAGTTGATCTAGTTGCATATTTTATACCCCCCTTTTCTGAATGCTTCTTACTGTCAGTGTTATCCCCTTGCATGTTTCCAAAATGGGGCTATGTGGGCACCTTCCTTATCCTGGGGAGGTTGTGACCAGCGCCGCCTGGGGATGGAGCCCCAACACTCCAGCTTCCCTGCTTTCCACACACTTTCTCCTCAGCTGCTGGCAACTGTTTTCTTGTTTTGATTTTCTTCTTCAATGACAATGAGCATCCCAAGGGCAGCAATTACTTTTTATTTTTCTTAACTTCACTTTATCTGGCAAATAAAGGAACCCAGTAAATATTTGTAGAGTGAACAAATTAAGGGATTTCTTTTTTTGCTAAGCAAGTAAATGAGCTTTCCATAAAGGAAGTTAAATTCCTCATACATTTACCAGCATATGCAAAGGGACTACCAGGTTATCCTCTATTTGTTTTTACAATGTAGTCAGCAGGTCAAAAGACAGCTCCAGAATCATCTAAATCAAATATGAAATGATGAGATAAAGAAAACCTTCATGTGAACCAAGGCGCTAAAGGACACATGACACCTGGATTTTCAGAACTTGAAAATTCCTTAAGTAATAGGAATAATTCCGATGATAGTTTTAATGAATATTTTGGTTAGTTTCAGTGGAGAATGTTTCTGGCAGATATTTGAAACTTCTAACACAGCTGGATCTTTGACCCTCAGTATAGATTTTGGAAAAGAGCCAAAACAGAAAACATTAACGTGTTGGAAAATGAGATCTGTTACTACGTTGACATGATCCTCAGAGCTTAAGAAGGTCTTGCCACTTGACATTGTCCTCCTTCTTTGCAGATATGTCTTCTCCAACTGCTATGAAGAAGCCTGAAAAGCCATTGTTCAGCTCCACGTCTCCACAGGATTCTTCCCCGAGACTCAGCACTTTCCCCCAGCACCACCATCCTGGAATCCCCGGAGTCGCGCACAGTGGTGAGGAGTTTGATGCCCAGGGAGCCTCCCCTGTGGGCAGGACTCAAGCCTGCAGGGAAGGAGCCAAAATTCATAATCATAGCAGCGGTGACCTTTCCTGTCACCACAGAGGGGAGGCTCACAACCTGATAAAATATGGTTTATCAATTTTTGAGAAAGTATTTTCAAAGTTGTGTGATTTAATAATATTTGTACATGTATTTTTAAATCCCCTTTATTGGAAAGATTATAATCAAAAACTTTGTTGAATAATCTTATTGAAAAGATTATATTCAAGGAAAAAAAATACATAATTATCATAACTAATTTCAGGATTGGTCCTAATTCTTTATTCTAAGAGAAAGATGAATTTTCAAGTGTATTGCTTAGTTCAGAGTTTTTCCAAAGGCATTAGCATGCATAGACACTATATCTGTTGATGATATTTTCTGTACATAAATCACTACTTACTTATTTGGGACTGAAATTAATCAGAAATAAAAGAAGTGGTTTTCTATGGCAACTGTTTTATGTGCACAAATCTTTTGGGGAAGTACACTTGGCTTATATCTAATATCTTAATTTAAATGAGAATATTTCACATTTTAGCCAACTATTAACCATAAGTCTTTCATAAGTTAAAAAATTAAATTCAATTAGTAATCAGTACTGTCTACTTTCTACTTATTATTTGAAGTCCTAGAGAGGAATAGACTGAAAGTTTTATATATAAATTTATATATATATTAAATTATAATGATACTCTTTAAAAATTTATGATTAGGCCTAGGATTTAGCTCAGTGAGGCCACCACCTGCATTGCGAGCACAAGGTCCTGAGTTTGATTCCCAGTACAAAAAAATTATGATTAAGCTATTCATTTTCTGTCAAATTAATTGAATCCAGTTTCTAAATTTGTACTAATAGGATGCAGTACCTGATAAAATAAAATCCTTAGGTTCAGTTTGTGCGTGTTGATAGACTTACTATATTTGAAAAAAAGTGCATGACCTTTATCATTAAAATTAAGGAAATTATGAAATTTAGAGAGAAATATGCAAAATAATTGGAACAAGAAATTTTACATTTATTGTTTGTGCTACTGAGATAGGCAAAAAAATCAGTAACTGTTTCATAGATTTATTAACATTATGTATTTGGCCAAAATTGACTTAGAAGTCATATTGTCTATGTCTGATAAGAGATCTAGAATAAATATTCCTCCTTGATCTTTCATCAAACATTTGTTAAGTATCTAATACATGAGGTCCTGTGGGAATTATTACCTTAGTTAAGAAAGATAGTTTCTGCCCTTCAAGAGGTCTTGAGATCCACATAACTGGCTCACATTCTGATTGGAAGCTAGGTACTTGGAGGAGGATTGTATGCCTGGAACAAATGTGTTCTGAGCTAAGTTTGAAGGGTGAGTTCAACAAAAAGAGCAACAAACTAGGAGGAAGAGAATTTCAGGCAACAACTTGTATCAGTGCTTGAGAGGTCACTGCAGCAAGAACTGGTGTCTGTCCCAGGATCCACAGATTTCAGTAATATGGACAGAGAAGCAGTCCATGCCCGGATTCTCAGGCACGTGAGAACCACACGTACTTGTGAAGTTGTTGGGAATTTATCCTGAAAATAGTAGGAAACCATTAAAGATTTTGAGCAGTGAAGTTACACAGTTCTAGTGATAATTTGAAAAAGTCATTCATGTAGAATAGAGCTGTAAGAAATGTATTGGAAGGAGCAAGACTGGAGGGAAGAAGACAATTAGGAGGCCTTTGCAATAACATAGGCAAGAAATGTTATACATATGTATGTACTCTTTCAAAATAAGAAAAACATCTTTGATCTTGTATGTGTTTTTTTTTGCCTTTTTAACGAACTAAAATAATTTTATTGCTAAGGTAGCCATTTTTACTTGCCATTTGGAATATGTAATTTTACCATTCACATCAGACTGGCTACAACCCATGTAAGCACAGTGTCAGTTTTCCCAGAGATATGAGCTGTGGATTTGTACCAGTTCAAATGAAAAGAGATTTCTTTCAGAGCTACTAAGGACAAATTGGTCCCCAAGCCCCGAAAACCCAACATTAAAAAAAATATATATATATATATGTATTTTTTTCCCAAGGATTTGTGCCCAGATGTGAGCATAGACCACAGTTAAATTGAGCTGAGATTAAGCACACTTAGACACTAAATAAAAAGATGCCAAATTTTACTGAATTGTTTGCATTTCCTTAGATTATGCTTTCAAGTGGACATATTTAAATAAAGTAATGCTTCCTGATGAGAAATTTTGTTTTAAGAAGTTTACAGTTGTTCTCTGAAGTGCATTTGATAGAGGATGTGCACACTTCGGTCTGTGGAGACACTGCATGGGATAGTGATTTGAACTGCACATTCTGGTACCTCATTCCCGCTGGTCCTTATCCAGTATGGCTGTGATTAGGCCCAAGAATCTGTATTATAAGACAGTCCAGAGAATTCTAAGAAACATCATCCTGGACAGCTAGGAAATGCAGTTGAAACTGCAAAATTATAATTATGGTTCCTCTGTTGTACATATATGTGATTATCTGTTTATCCTAAAAATTTTCCTTATTCAAGATAATCAGCATCTCTTTAAAAACTTCTGGGTTTCTTTTCCACATAATTGTAAAGTTGGAGATAGTCATCCCAGATGATTTTCATTTATAGGTCATGGGAAAAATTATTTTTTTCATATTGTTTGATAAATTGTTTCTTAAAACATTAAACATCATTGTAATTTTCTTTAATTTGGATTGAAATATTAAAAAGAAACTGACATTTAATTTTTACTCTTACATATATTAGTTGGTTCTCTTAATTTGTACTTAATTATTTCCCTCAACCTTCTAGAGATAATAATCATATAAGTATACTAGTTCTCCATCTTTCAAACTTAAAAATAGTTTGTAAAACTAAATCAGCAATTCTGATCATACTAATGTTGAAAAACTGCATTAAAATTAAACATTATCCACATTGCATGTGTTTTATATAGTTATTCCCTCTAGAAATTATTATAAAAGTATGAATTGTGAATAACAATCTACTCATAAGAAAGTTGAAGTTCATATTTCTGTGGATTTTATTCATAGTCTTATCTTAGTATCTGTGAAGCTACACATAGTTAAAGATAGAGTAGAAAGAACAATAGTTGTAGGATAAATAATTTTGAAAGGAACATCTTGGATAAAGAGTTCCCAGGTCCCGTGTTTCAGTGTTCAGCAATATTTTTACAGTGATCAGGGAATTATTCATAATGTGAAAGTTTTGTGTATTAATTGTTTGCTTCTCTTATGAACAGCTGCTGGTTAGCATGTATAGGGAAATGATTTATTTGAAATTAGATTACACTTCTATTTTGAATTTTAGTAGAAAATGTGTGAGTCTCTTGCCCTCCACTTCATGTTGTGACTTGTTCTGGACTTCAGAAGACAGAGACCTTGTGATCAAAGAATGAGTTTGGGTGGGAAATAAGTTTACCCAGAGAAATGTTTTAGACAGTATTGGCATGACCTATAGGAGTTGTACTTCCCTTTTCAGTCATGGATCTAGAAAGGAGAGCATCCCTCCTGAGCATGGCATTCTGTCTGACTTTAGCAGGATGGCACTGAGAATAACAGTGAGCAGATAATTTATTTGGAGAGGTTGGTTAAATCATGGGAAAAAACAAAATAGCTGCTAATTGTATAGTTTAACAGCACTCTTTAGGGTTGGAATGAAGCAGTAAGAAAATCAGCTGATGGGTTGATCTTTCCTTTTCTGGGTTCCACAGTCATCTCAACTCGAACTCCACCTCCACCCTCACCGCTGCCATTTCCAACACAAGCGATCCTTCCTCCAGCCCCATCGAGCTACTTTTCTCACCCAACAATCAGATATCCTCCCCACCTGAATCCTCAGGATACTCTGAAGAACTATGTACCTTCTTATGACCCATCCAGTCCGCAAACCAGCCAGGTAAAAAACAGAAAACAAGATTGGTGTTTAAGGGAGATGGGACAGGTGTAACCCTAAGACATGAAGGTCAGCCAGCCAGTCTGTCTGGCAGGACATCAAGCCTTGCAGTCCATTCCCAGGAAGTTTCTTGGTGATTCAGTAAGTTTTTATTTAAAGGTGGATGAATGACAGGTAGGAGGAAGTGTGTTGTCCCAAAGGAGTACATTTGTGAAGATGTTTTTGGTTTAATGTTTTTGAACTTTCACTGACTGAAGGGAAAGTTTATGCAGAAAGTTCATTGCCAAAAAGTTTTGAGCTGGAATTCACACCTCTGGAATACCTGGTTTGACACAAGGGCAAAATGCTTATTTTGGGCAGAAGCAAGGTATGTGATAAAATAAACACACACAAAAGAACTTATGGTTGTATTTACAGGCCAGTTATTAGGTATTAAAATAAGCTCTGGTAATGTAAACATTTTCAGTGTATGATAACTGCTTGAATATTCTTTGCAGAGACAGGACTTATATTTAATAATGAGTGACATTACTAAAAGCGTCTTCTTTTTAAAAAAACATTGTGGAGTGGTTTTATGGATTGATTTTATAAGCTTAGTGATTCCTGTGTATTTCTCATTCCCTAGACATGTGGTTTATTCCATGGAGAGGTTGCTTAGGGATTTGGTATGAAAGGCTTTTCCACCATCAAGTAGACAGTCTTATGCCAATGCTGGGTCTACCAATAATTGTAACATCCAAACTCTACAGTGGAATTTTAATCTTGTGGCTTTGCTGCTTTACCTACAGGACTCATGTCCACTTCTTATTATACTTTTAATGCTGGAGGGGGGGTCACAATATTGATCATTACCTCTGTTGAGTTACTAAAATTAGAGTAAATATTATATAGGCAACATACCTAATTAACCAAGAAAGGTCAGAAAAAAACTTTGGTCTTAATTTGTTAAGTAAAGCAAAATAATCCTTTCTAAATATTTATTTTGAATAAGAGAAAATGGTTCTTTTTGAATATTTTATTTTGAATAACAGTTGTATCTAGCACCCTTTAAGTTATATTTTACCTTTATCTTTGGCTCCACCAAGTAATATACTAGACATGGAATTTTAAAGTTAAACTTACTGTTTTTACTTAAGAGGATATACACATAGTGTAACGACTGTACAACTAATGACAACTAAGTGAGGAAATAGGTTCTTGGTAGACCAGTTTAGAAATGAAACTTGCTGTCAGAGCATGGATTCACAACTCTCTGTTCCAGAGAGCATTTTGCTAGACTCAGCTGGGAACAGTGCACACAAGGTCTGATTTCAATTTGTGTAGAATTTCCATGAATAACAAAGTCTAATTAAGACATCCATTAAAAGTCCTTAACGTTAATTCAGTGTGGAAAATCTTAGAGTTCCATTGGATTTTTTTTTAAACTGATGTCTTAATTAGGCACTGTTAGGGGAAAAATTATGCAAATTAAAATCAGGCCCGTAGTGTTATGCATTTCTTTAATTATTCAGTGCTTGTTTTATGTATATTTCAATTTCTTTATAAGAGGACATATTAGGTGATAATCTGCCTATATTGTTTTCCTTATGTTTATATAGTCTCAGGATTTCCTTACATTTTCAAGGTAAAGATCCAGTTTCTAAGAGAAACATCTTACTCTCATCTCAATTAAAAGATATGCACAAAAAAAATCCTCTCAGGATTTTGTATAATAAGAGCATTGTACTAAGTAGGATAATCCTTTCCTGATGCTGTTTAGCTTCATCTTCAGATAAGACCCTCCTTTTCATATCTACAGTATAAAAGTTCATCTATTAGCGGACTTAAAAGATAGAGGCTTTATAGCTTAGTGCCACCTGTTTAAACTAGTAGAAAACTGAAGGATATTACTGTCCTGGTCTTCTGATAATGCGTTTCAGAAAAGTTCCTGCATTGATTTGGGAATTCCTTCTTTGTCCCCTTTATTATTTTTAAGTGGGAGAATTGTCTGTCAGTTCATGTTGGTTCAATTCCAGGAGACAGAATTTGTAGACTGGCAGGGTAATGCCATATTTGGTGGTGGCATTTCCTTCAAGTCAGTGTCATTCTGTTCCTCTTCCAGGTTGGCACTATCAACCTGTTTTGCTGAATGCTACACAGAAACACTTTTAGTATTGAATGAACCACCAGTGATAAAATGAGACTTTCTTACCCAGTAAGATATACAAAGCAGTCATTTGCAAAGTTCAAATAACCAGAGTTTGGTGGTTTGCTTTGGAAATAAACAGTTATTTCCCCTTGAAATGAAAATAGGTCTTTATGGTAAACTGGAGAAGTGTTGTTTTAGGAACATTATATCAACTTTCATGTTTTACTCCAACTCAAAACCAATTAGTCTGCATTTCAAAATAGAACTCTTGATATTCACCTTTTCTGCATTATAAATGGAAAAAAAATGAGTACTTGATGACCATTCAACTGCAGTCAACTGCTCCTTCCCAATCTCTTCCAGCACAGCACTGATTTTGATTGTTAAGCAACTGAGATGCCTTTTCCTCCCCACAGCAATTTGGGGATTAATTACATTACTGCTGCACCAATTATAGTGAGACAGCCTTGCTATTCAATGGAATATTTCGAATGAAATTAGTTTAAAGATATAACTCTCCCATAGGTTTCCTTAGAGAAAAACTCTGGTCAATTTTCCTGACATAAAGTTAAATATTTAAAATTACCCATGATGAATAGTCAGGATATTCAAGAAGTCCATTTTCTTTATAAAATAAAGAACATGGGCTCTGAGGAACCCAAAGACTTAGTCTCTAAGTCACAGTATTTAAATGTCTCTAGCTATTTATCTTTTTTCCTCAAGAAATGTCTACTTGTAATTTATGTACAGGTATTAGCTAAATATTTATTATTTAATGTTATATTATTATTATATATTTAGATAAAGTTTCCTGCTTCCTTTATCTTTAATAGTTGAGATTATAAAGACTGTATTTGTGGAGAAGAACCTCCTAGCGAATTGTTAAGAACACTGCAGTAGAGAATTGCAACATGAATATAATCAAAAATAGCATTCTCTGTCTAGAGGAATATACTCCAAGAGTTCTTCAATGCACCCTTAGGATTTTATCTCCTAGCTAAAGACACTATTTTTCCACCAAGGGGCTAAAACTCAGATAAAATATCTTTTCTGCCAAAGCCCAGGGAATTTTCTCAGTTAATTCCCACAAACGTCAACAATACATGTTTTGTATAACTCTCCATGCACAACAATGGAAGAATTCTCACCAATGCACGTTTATTTGTCCTCTGGTTCACCTCAGTTTATTTTATCATTGTGTGCATCTGAAAGTTCAGATGCTTTAAATCTCCTTCTGTCTGTTTGTATTAGTAAATCATCCAAAACGGAGTAGAGACCATAGAGTCTAAATTGCCTTGTGTGTGTGCCTGAGATACCTGTGTGGGTAAGAGAAAGCTGGAGTTTTTATATGCGGATGAATCGGCCTTGACTATTAATGATGGAAACTATGGAGTTGGATGTGTTTCTTCTCCTAGACATTCTTGGGTCTCTTGTGTCAGTAATTTCATCATTTAGGAGGCAAATTTTGTTTTGAAAGCCATACTGACTCTGTAGAAAATGAAGACTAGAGAGTGAGGAACTGCCAGGTTGTGACTGTCGATAGCTCAGTAAGGAAGTCCATTTTACCTTGAACTGGGCATTTGAAACCTCACTTGAGTTTTCTGGCCTACTGAATGAAAGGATCAAGTCTTCTTGGTGCTTGGGGGTGTTTAAACACTAAATAATCTACACAAAGTGCTTTTGAAGATGAGAACCTTACTCTAAACACTGTTGGTTTTTATTACTACTAACCATTGGTTGGCCTTCAGCCCAGACTGGAGAAGGTCTGTGTGGCAGTGACACAAAGTACGCAGGATCGAGGTGGCCACGTGTGCCACATGGAGTTGTTGAGCAAGACGACTGCCTTTTGGATTGCTTCACCTGGCATTCTGTTTTTGTTTTGTAGCCTAACAGCAGTGGTCAAGTGGTAGGGAAAGTGCCTGGCCATTTCACTCCTGTCTTGGCACCCTCTCCCCATCCCAGTGCAGTGCGACCTGTGACTCTGAGCATGACAGATACTAAACCCATCACTACATCCACTGAAGGTGAGGCAGCTTCACCTACAGCGACCAGTAAGTATCTGGGTAGGAAATGAGAAATGTCCATCCAAGGCACCATTGGATATCTGATCCAAGGTGGAAGGAAAACGTGGCAGCTTTTCCAGCTACCTACCCGATGGAGATTTCTCATTTAAGTGGAGCTAGCAGGCATGTATGTGGCCTTGCTGTAACATGCTCTCTCTCCTCAAATTTCTGTCAATGCATCCTATTTGAAAAGGGAGAAGCATATTTGTTTGAGCAAACAGCTATAACAAAAATAATAACTCATGCCTGCTTGTTCACGTTATACATTGAAATTGCACTGAATAACATCATGTAGTATACAAGGTTTTTATATCATCAAAAGAGAGATTACATAATTGTTACTTATGGGAACATCCCTGTAGAAATCCCTCCCCTCCACTAGACAGACTGAATGAGCCCCTCTAAGATAATTATATGTTTACCTTACTGTAGGTTATGTCATTGTTAGAAACAGTCATACAAAGTCGGGTGCAAGCAAGAACATTTCAAAGCTTAGCGTTAGGCACATGGAAGGTACCTACACTTTCATTATCTGCAACTTTTCCTTTAAACTTTTTGATTATTTTGCCTATCATGGCACATCAGACCCTATGCTTATTTGCATGGCCATAACATTTTAAACATCAGAGATTTAGCTAGTGAACTTACATAGCACATACCAATAAGCCAAGTGATTCTTTTGTTTTTTTATATAGAATACTCAGAAAGGGCAAGGAATAAATTTTCAGTTAGCTTCACCCAAACTACCAGCTTCGTAGAACTGGAACTGGTACACAGAATGGCAAGTGATACAGATGAGTTCTAGTCTGGAGGAATTTAGCATGCACATACACAGTTATACACGTATCTCAACTTCAGCCTTTTTTTTCCTTTCCTAGAGCAAGGAAATCATTAGGCTCTGGAAATTCCCATGACACGATCAGGGCACCACTGACTTATTCTTTCTTGGCCATTGGAAAGACACTCTTATTTGGTGAGTTAAGAAAGACCAGGAAGGAGCTCTACAAGAAAAATAAACAGTACTTTGATTGTACAGTGAATAGTCAGCATTTTTTCTCAAGATTCTCAGCACACATAAACTACTAAATCAAGAGAGGCTTGTAATACCCATCAATAATCATTAATACTTAGTAATTGGTTTGCTGGCAGACACTCACAACAGCAGCAAACGTTTTCATGAATGCATAGATTTATAAGACCTGGTCAGAGAAAACCAAAACTGCTTTTAACAGTTTGCTACATACATGATAGTCACTAAAACAATAACGTACAAATTTACAAAGTGCATATCATGTCATCTTTGAGCAAACAAATACATGAAAGCACAGAAAATAAGATTTTAAAAAGTAATCAGAAGACTATTTTAGTTAAATGATCACAACCAAGTTCTAGAAACTTTTGCTGCCTACTAGCATGGTGACCTTAATATTTAAGATTCAGGGCAGGAGCAGACCCAAATAATCACAGCTTACTTACAGGAGTACCTTCAGCCTGTTTGTTAATGAATTGTTTTTATACTCACATACAGGTTGCTCAAAAGGGATCTGATTTGACTAGTAAAATTACAAAATATTCAAAAGGAATATCTTGATTGTATAAAGATGGCTGCATCAGTCCATTTTCTACTCCTACGTAAATATAGTGAGTAGTTTTTCTTTGCTATAAACAAACTCATAGCACCAGCTCCTTAAGCTCCACTGATAATGAGAAACCGGTCATTGAATTGAAGTTAAAACACAGAGGCCACGGAAACCTCCTTTTCATAATTGAAAAGAAAGAACAGCACAGATTGGTGCTCTCTAAGGGTGACACTCTTCAGATCAAAAGCCCAAGTGTTGAATTTTGGAGACGTGGAGATGGGTGGAATAGGGGCTGCTCTTTCCTGGTGGCTGCCCTTGCATTGGCCCTGAATTCAGGAATAATAAAAAGATGAATTGTGAGCATCTTCAGTGTTTTTTTATAAGTTGACCTAAAAAACCCTTAATGATCAAATTCTGCTGTCCTTTAAATGAACATGGCAGAATTAATATATTGATTTTTAAAAGCCAACCTATTTAAAATCCATGCCTGAATTCCTCATTAATCTGATGGTTTTAAGCCAAATGAGTATCTTCAAACCTGTAAATGCAGTGATGTATAGTTAAAAACTTAGTTCTTTTGCTTGGAATTGCTTGATGCTAGGAAAATATATTAATCCTTTTCTTATAAAAAGAAGCAAAACTCTTTAGGAAGAAGAATAATGATCCTGTGGAAAATTCACTTTATACCAAAAGCCACTTGTACAGGAAATACTTGCAAATGAGACCATGACAGTGTCAGCAGCCCCTGTACCATATGTAGTCACTACCTACTGACCAAGTATTTCAAGTGACTTCCTGGGCAGTCACCAGAAATTGATATTTTACACTTATAAAGAATTTTTTCAAAACTGTGTCTATCAAACTTGAGGGCATTTTTGCATTATAAAATTCTAAGCTTATTCATTCTATATAGTACAACAAAAATAGGCTCCTCCAGAATAGTAATATTGGATTTTCTCTTTAGGAAGACTTTCATCTCGTATCATCAAGCTTGTCTGCCCAAGTCTTATCATTAAAAGCTGTCGTTTTTTTCCTGACAATCTTTCAGCCTGCTTACATTCAGAAACACAGTCTCAATCATGATTTCATTATTAGACCGCTAGTATGTAGTCAAAAGTTGCATGTAGGAAAAGGACTCTTCTATGTCGCTGGTCCACTGTGCCCTGCAGGACTGGGACTGGGGCACAGAAGAGTAAAACACTGACATCAAAGGATGGGATGGGATGTGTGAGATAGGTCTTTTAGGGGGATTAACTAATTGATTTGAAATCAATGACCATTTCTTTTCTGTTACTTGGTATTCACTAGAACAAGAGAGAAGAGAAATGGAGACACTTTTTTTGGTTGCAAGTCCCACTTCTCTTGGTTTCTTATTCATGGACAGGGTGTTCATTCTGATAGTTCACAATTTTTATCTTTGTTTTTGTTCTTCCTTAATCAGCCTACACAGCCTCAGGCACATCTCAAGCCAATCGATATGTGGGACTAAGTCCAAGAGACCCATCCTTCCTACATCAGCAACAGGTGGGCAAGTTTCACCCAGGTGTAATGGTGTAGCCGCGCTTGCTTTGGTGCTTTTCTTCTCCATGTTGCCTCTCAGATCTGGACTCAAAATGGGGCTCAAGGGGCTTCTGAGACCGAAATTGATCATTTTGTTTTCCATATTTTTTCCTCATTTATTCCTTGCTTCTCATCTCTCTGAACAGTTTCTCAAATTGGCTTACAATCTCTTCCATCTCCATAGCATAGATTGATAATGTAGAGGAACACTGTTGTGCTTAAGCCAGTATTTTTCTCAGTCCTTTGGCTGTTGAGAACTTACTAGCATATAGCTTTCAAAGGCGAACACTGAAAATCAATTTAAAAGCCAATTAGAGTAGAAGCAGTACATTTGTGTTTTTGAGCAATTTCATATTTTCCAGATGTTTTACTCCTCACTTTGGTAGTTCAGTCCAGGAAGATGAGTTATGAAGCTAAAATCTCAGGCAACACATCATTCCTATTTTAATAGGTTTAAATTGGTTTAGTGATTTCAATGTGGTAAAACACTTTTTTTCAGTTCTGCTTTCTTACATCATTTATGTTTCAAGTAGCATTTTAAATTTCACATCTCATTAATGCTGTAAATTTAATGCAAATGAAGTGTTTACTCAAACTGTGAAAATATACAGCCAGGATTAATGGTGGTTTATAAACAAATTAGCCACAGTCAAAAGCATGGACCATTCCAATATAGAAATCCTACTATTCTTGTTATAGCATAACAGAAGAAAATTCTGAACACTTCAGAATTTAAATATATTTTATGATGCATGTGCTTATACTTACTGTTCTCAAGATTTGATAGCAGAGCAGTTTGAAATTAACAGTATATAAAATATTACATAGGGAAAAATTGTCTATAACAAGAACTAGATGGCATTAACTAACTTGCTGTTCACTTAGAAGTTATCTCCACACATGCATGTGAGTTTTTATACATGGTGCAAGCCTGCACAGGTTTTTATGCCCACTGTTTTATTCTGGGCTGGTCCACCTCCTTCACACTCACTGGGGCCTGTCTTAGCTGTGCTCCTGTGGAGTTCTTGGGTCCCTCCCATTGGCCCGCCAAGGTGGTAGGCTGTGTATATTAAAGGCCACCACATGCAGAGTTCAGAGAAAATCATAAAGATGATAGCTTATTCAGGATACTTGACGTTTTGCCAGGTTTAAAAAAAGCAAAGCAAAACAAAACAAAAGAGTGAGAACTAACTGAAAACATCTGTATACAGTTATGAAAATACCAAATAATAATTAGTGGTTTTGCCAACCATTGCCTTTTCAACATAATTCTCTGGAATGTTGCTTTTTTTCACCTCTAAAATTGCTGTAATATGAAATGTGTTATAATTACTATAATATGGTTGTATTTGACAAATGTGTGTGTTCATTGTGTTTTTTAAACATATGCAGGGTTTATAGGTTTAGAAACTTGCTCTTTTAAAATCAATAAAAAATATTTTTGTCATGGGATTTGCATTATCTTTTATGATACATCCCCACTTTCTAGTTAATTTTTAATTCACCAAAACGTACCTCTATTATTTAAGCCTTTAGCCCCAAACATATTTAGAATATTGTAACCAGTTCCATATACTTGGAAGCAGTCTTTCTCTCTACCTGCTCTAAGCCATAACATCTTTAATTTTTTTTAATCACTTATGACTAATGTTGGGGCCTTATATAATTATGATCACAAAAAATCATTAATTTAACACTTACTTCTACCTTTACATAGCTAAAGATAAACTTAGCAGAGCATACTGAAAATACAAGTCAACAAAGTTGAGATCTGGGCATATTTTAATTGAAAAATATGACTTCTAGATCTATAAATTTTTTCATTGAAGGTTATTGTTATTTAAGAGGACAATGGTGAATGAAGACCACTTACAGTATGAATATATTTTGTTCAGTCAGATGCAGTTACTATTTATGGAATACATGATGTATATTGATCCTTGGAAGAGGAAAAACCATATATGCTTCCTAGTTTAAAAAATTTTAAATACCATAAAGATAGATCATTTGTCCTCTATTTAATGAGTATATGCCACTTTTTATTTGAAGAAGCCCAGTCGGCCAAATTCATAATGAACTAAAATTTTGAAGCATGTATGAAATAAACATAAATGCATATATTAGGTTTATAAATATATGACTAAACAAAGGCTTTAATTAAAAACCTGTTATTTTTATCCTTTCAGATTTTGAAAGACTCATAGAGATGAAGTTTTTTGCTTACTATCTAGGAATACAGAGACAGAAATAGTTTAAATGACTTCGGTAAAGGTTATTCTTTCCTGTAGCAGAAATGAGATTGATTTACTGTGTCCTTTCATTACTTCACAAAGATTTAAAAGAGACCACTCTTCTAGTGGAGGGTTCTAAATGCATTTGGTTTAAAGCACTCAATGATGAATGAAAAGGAAAATCAAGGGGTACATGGAATAAAGGTAATCAATCATTTTATATTAGCTAGGAGAAATTTAAAATTAGAAAGGCAATGGTTTTAGCCTGAGAGAGTTCTTTTAAACATTCCCCATAACCTTTAATATACATGACCCCTTAAGAATAAATATTGTCACCAGGTACATTTTTCCATTTATGGTGGTTGCTTTATAAAGATTTATCCTTTTAGGTTATGAAAAGTATTGATGTGCATTGTTGAGTGCTATTTTTTTCTTTATAAAAGAACTTTAATATAACTTACATAAATTAGAGTTAGCAATAAATTTTAAATTATTGAATAATTTTTACTGTCTTTTAAGTAATCTTTCCACAAAATGACACGACAATAGAGCTTTCACTATATTCATTTCTAACACGCAAGTATACTGGCATTCTTTAATTGAGATAGAGAATATTAAAATATTAAAATTAACCCTGTACTGTACCTATAAGAGTGATACCTTCACATTTACAAATATAAACAATAAAAGCATATGCTTTTACATTCATTAACATGGTACATGCACAGTTATTTGTTATTAGTAATTATAAATTTATGTGTTCTTTTTTATAACGGTTATTACTGATTAGTGCTGGCTGCCAACTGCTTTGAAATAGTTTTTCTGACCCTGGAATTTTACCTATCATTGCAAATACGATATCCCAATTAAATCTAACATTAAATAATTATGTAGAATATTTGCAAAAGATCCGTGTCACTCAGTTAATACTTTGCCATTAAAAACACCCCATCTCATTAGTCATAATAATCAGCTCATGCCACCTAATGAGGACTCAACTTCACAACTATTCTCACTTAATGCAGTCTTGAGTATGTTGAAGGTCTGGAACTAGTCTGCCTTTGAGACAGTTGACTGGCTCAGTTAATGCATTCACTACTGGCATGAGGAAAATTGAAAAATCAGAACTTCAGGTAGAGTGTCATTCTTTTTTAACTTTTCTACTGGGAATGCTGTGGTGGCTTGAAGAACCCATGTGTTCTGCTTTGGCAAACTAAGCTCTTGCGGTCTCTACTGAGAAATGCCTTTAAATGGTTTGGATTTCAAAAGTTTGGAAGACCTCCTCTCCTATTTACATCTGCAGAGACATAGCAGAGAGTTTCCCTTCCTACTTCATCCTTCATAGATCTGCAAGGCACATCCCTTAGTATAAACAGCGAAGGAACAATATTTCCCAAGTGTTATCTTCTTGAGAAAATGGGAACTATTAGCAGAATGTTGGATATTGCTTAGAAATCACAGAAGTTGTGTTATAATCCAGCCTAATAATTTTAGTGTAAGTGGATAATATGAAACAACTTATGCAGTTTAGCACTAATTCTTTATCTGGTTAGTCTTATAACAAATTTTCCAATTTAAGGCCTCCTTTTTTTTTGCTATCATAGAAAGTTTGATAATATGAGAGACTCTAGTTGAATTGATTATCACTATTGCAGTTGAGAGTAAGGTCATATTAAAAGCATAAGTCCTTATTATTATCACATTAAGACAATAGGTTATAGGAACCTATTGCAAATAGGAAATAAAACCTTGCATTTAAGAAAGTTCTTGTTTAGAAGTAAAGATCACCATCCAGCCATTGAAGTGCATATTAATTTTTTGATACAGATTTGAGATTTGGGGTGGAGTAAATGGGAAGTCACTTTTACCTCCCATAAAGTAAGCTCTAGTTTGTAAGAAATGCAACCTGTTTTCACAGTCTCAATGACAATCTCTTGACTATGTATGCTCCCTTTTACTAGTTCTTCTGAAGAGTGGCCCGACCAATTCTGGTCCTTACTTTACTCCTCAAAGTTGCATACATTTTACTGATGCTTGAACTTTAGCATGTTACATCTCCTGCGTGACAATGAAATTCTATTATTTCGAGTGCAATTACCAGGCTAGTTTATGCTTAAATATTTTCGACACTTTTCTTGATGTAATTTAAAGCTAGAATTTGAAAGTGGTTTCAATTACACTGAAAATTTTTATTATGCAAAATAGCCTTTTAAAGAAATCTGCAGGGTTTTTTTTAACTAAAGTGTGAGTTGGAATCCCCTTACAATATTTGCCCTGGCAAAAGGCAAAGCTAGAGCTTGGTGTGTTAAAACCACTGGGAAAGTAGTCACTTATTAGAGGCAGGCGATTAATGGGGCACAAGTAGACTATCAAAAATCTTTTCAATAAAGTCAGGAAACAGGCTATCAACATTTGGGCCATTCTTATTGTGTCTGTTATCATAATTGACAGCTTGACGTAAAAACCCCATCACATGACTTCTGGGTAGGTATGTAAATGGATAAGAGGTCACTTTTCACATATGCTAACTGGAAAGGAAACACATTTGAAGGAAGTTTCAGTCAAAATAATAGCTATGCAAATGTTTAGCTTTTTGGCTGGTTCTTAAATTTTTTTTAAAAATCCCTCCATTGTCTTCTATCACATTCATTTGTTCATTTACCTTTTCTGATTATCAAAGGCTAATATCCAGATAAACTATTCTAATTAATGTAAAAATAAAATCATATTTAG